TACTTGGTGTGACGTGTCAACACTCAACCTTCCTAGCATCATCAGCCAGCACTGCCCTTAGCTCACAGTGGGGGCAATAAAGAGAGAGGAGAGGCAGCTTCTATGCCCTTGGAACCTCCACAGCCCTTGCCAACATTCCCATAAGTGATGTGTGGAGACCTCGTAGAGGACAAAGAGGAAAAGTGAAACACCCAGCTTCACTCTCCTGTGAGTGAAACCACAGCTGATTTTTAACCGTCTAATGGAGGCCCTCCACCACTTGTCTGTCAGTTAGTCGTACTGTGGTGGTTTCTGAGTTGCTGTGATTCTGAAAGCTCTGCCACAGGTATTTTAAATACCAGCAGGGTCACCCATGGTGGATAGGTTTCAGATGAGCTTCCAGACAAAGAAAGACTAGGAAGAAAAAATTGACGAATTACTTCCGAATATTTAGTCACTGAAAACTGTATGAATAGCAGAGAAACACTGTCAGATATAGTGCTGGAAAATGAGCCCCTCTGGTTGGAAGGCACTCAAAATGCTACTAAGGAAGAACTGCCTCCTCAAAGCACAGTTGACCATGATGACGCTAATGGAGTAAAGCCTGTGGGAGAAAAGCCCACGGGACCTTCATTTGCTGATGGGGCACAATTCAAAATGAGGAGAAACAGCTGTAAACATCCATTAATAATCAGAACATGGAAATGTACAGAGTATGAATCTAGGAAAATTAGAAATTGTAAAAATGAAATGGAACACGTAAACGTCTAATATCTTAGGCTGAAATTGACTGGTATTGGCCATTTTGAATCTGAAGACGACATGGTTTACTATGCTAGAAATGAGAAATTGAAGAGGAATGGTGTTGCATTCACTGTCCAAAAGAACATATCCAGATCAGTCATGAGGTACAATGCTGTAGGTGATAGGATAATATCCATGTGCCTACAGGAAAGCCCAGTTAATACCACTATTATTCAAATTTACGCACCAACTACTAGAGCCAGTGAGGATGAAATAGAAGAATTCTACCAACTTCTTCAATCTGAAATAGATCAAACATGCAATCAAGATGTATTGATCATTAGTGGTGATTGGAATGCAAAGGTTGGGAGCAAAGAGGAAGGATCAGTAGTTGAAAAACACGGCCTTTGTAATAGAAATGATGCTGGAGAACACATGATAGAATTCTGCAAAATCAATTATTTGTTTATTTCAAATACCTTCTTTAGACAGAATAAGAGGCGCCTATACACATGGACTTCACCAGATGGAATACATAGAAATCAAATTGACTACATCTGCAGAAAGAGACTATGGAAAAGCTTCCTATCATCAGTCAAAACAAGGCCAGGGGTAGACTGTGGAGCAGACCATCAATTACTCATATGCAAATTCAAACTGAAGCAGAAGAAAATGAAAACAAGTCCACGAGAGCCAAAATACGACCTTGAGTATATCCCACCTGAATTTAGAGATCATCTGAAGAACAGGTTTGATACATTAAATACTAAAGACCGAAGACCAGGAGAGTTGTGGGATGACATCAAGAACATACATGAAGAAAGTCGCAAGGCATTAAGAAGACAAGAAAGAAGGAAAAGGTCAAAATGGATGTCAGAGGAGACTCTGAAACTTGCTCTCCAGCATAGAGACGCTAAAGCAAATGGAAGAAATGAGGAGGTCCAAGAGTTGAACAGAAAACTTCAAAGATCGGCACAAGAAGATAAAACCAAGTGTTACAAAAAAATGTGCAAAGATCTGGAATCAGAAAACCAAAAAGGAAGAACACACTCAGCATTTCTCAAGCTAGGGGAACTGAAGAAAAAAAGTCAAGCCTCAACTTTGGTTATTGAAGGATTCTCTGGGCAAATTATTGAATGATGCAGAAAGCATCAAGAGAAGATAGAAGGAATACACAGAGTCACTGTACCAAAAGGAACTGGTTAATGTTCAACCGTTTCAAGAGGTAGCATATGATCAAGAGCCAATGATACTGAAGGAGGAGTCCAAGGTGCACTGAAGGAACTGGCAAAGAACAAGGCACCAGGAATTAATGGAATCAAAATTAAAATCTTTCAAGAAAGTGAGGTGGCACAGGAGGCACTCACTCATCTCTGCCAAGAAATCTGGACGACAACTATCTGGCTGACTGACTGAAGAGATCCATATTTGTGCCCATTCCAAAGACAAGTGACCCAATGGAATGCTGAAATCATCGGACAATCTCTTTGATATCCCATGTGAGTAAAGTTTTACTAAAGGTAATACAGAAATGGCTGCAAGCATACACTGACAGAGAACTTCCAGAGGTTCAAGCCGGATTCAGAACAGACCATGGAACGAGGGATATCATTGCTGATGTCCGATGGACCTTGGCTGAAAGCAAAAAATATCAGAAAGATGTTTACCTGTGCTTTATTGACTATGCAAAGGCTTTTGATTGTGTGGATCATGACAAGCTATGGACAACGTTGCAAAGTATGAGTATTCCGGAATACTTAATTGTACTCATGAGGAATCTGTACCTGGACCAAGAGGCAGTTGTTCAAACAGAACACGGAAACACTGAATGGTTTAAAATTAAGAAAGGTGTGTGACAAGGCTGTATTCTTTCACCATACTTATTCAACCTGTATGCTGAGCAAATAATCCAAGAAGCTGGGTTCTATGAAGAAAAACTGGCATCAGGATTGGAGGAAGACTCATTAACAACCTGTGATATGCAGATAATACAACTTTGCTTGCTGAAAGTGAAGAGGACTTAAAACATTTACTGATGAATCTCAAAGAGCACAGCCTTCAGTATGAATTATATCTTAATGTAAAGAAAACAAAAATCCTCACCACTGGACCAATAAACAACATTCTTATCAATGGAGAAAAGATTAAAGTTGTCAAGGACTTCATTCTTCTTGGATTAACCATCAACACTCATGGAAGCAGCAGTCAAGAAATCAAACAATGTATTGTATTTGGAAAATCTGCTGCACAAGACCTTTCTTTTTAAAGTGTTGAACAGCAAAGATATCAGCTTGATGACTAAGGTGTGCCTGACCCAAACCATGGTATTTTCAATAATCTCATATGCATGCTAAAGCTGGACAGTGAATAAGGAAGACCGTAGAAGAATTGATGCTTTTGAGTTATGGTGTTGGAGGAGAATATTGAAAGTGCCATGGACTGCCAAAAGAACCAATAGATCCATTTTGGAAGAAGTACAGCCAGAGCGCTCCTTAAGAGGCCAAGATGGCCAAACTTCGTCTCTCATACTTTGGACATATTGTCAGGAAGGACCAGTTGCTGGAGAAGGATATAATGTTTGGTAAGGTGAAGGGTCAGAGGAAAAGAGGAAGACCCCCAGCGAGATGGATTGGGCAGGTGGCAGCATCGATGGACTCAAGTGTGGCAACAGTAGTGAGGTTGGCCCAGGATCGGGCAGCGTTTTGTTCTACTGTGCATAAGGTCGCTATGAGTCTGTACCGACTGGATGGCACTTGACAACAACAATAATGGAATCCCTGGGGGAGCTCTATCAGGTTGCTGAGGCCACACAGGAAGCAGGAGGAAGGAGACTTAGAGCGTCTTCGTTTTCAACACTGAGAGGGGAGGTGGCAGGAAGTGAAAAACATTTTGCTGCCGTTCGCGTCATTAAGGCACACACCATTTCTCTCCCAAAACCAGCTGCTGGAGTCCTGGCCCCGTACCTGTAGGTGGGGTTGCCATGTGTTGGCATCGACCTGATGTGGATGGAATGGAATGTCACCTACTCTAACGTCATCACCTCCCACGATGCAATTAACTGCAGTGTGGTCCATCAGAGAGGAGGTCCTATCAGTGTACCTTGTCTGAGTTACAGAAAAGACACAGACACCCACAGGACGAAAGACGACATCATGAAGATTGTCCACACGCCGTGGAATCGGGGAGGGGTAGTCTGGGGCTACTGGCACAGCTGCAACCTGAACTTGGACTTCTCGTGTCCAGAACGACAAGAACACAGTTGTGTTCCTTAAAGTCGCCACATGTGGTGGTGTTAACAGGATGGAGCGCAGGGTCGAGCGCTAGTTTCCTCTGACTGTCCCACAAGGAGGTGGCTGGAGGTAGCAGGGCCCCTCTCCAGGCCAGGTGGAGTTCTGTGATGACGCCCAGGGCCGTTGGCAACAGCCTCACTGGCCAGGTGCACAGCTAGCCTCCTGCAGTGTCAAGCATCGGGGCCTGGTCCACCGATGACAAGATCAGGGACAGAGGCTATGCAAAAGGATGAGAGGGCAGGTCCCACATTCCTCCTCACTTTGGGGCAGTGTCCTGGCAGGAATGGCCTGAGTCGAAGTCCCAGCCCCTGGACAGCCTCGCTGTTTCCTCTCGGTTGACCAGCAAAGTGCTTCCACCTCCAAACCATTAGGTAAGAGAAGGAGGAGAGGGCAGCAGCAGCCACTACACCAGGAGCCTCGGCCTCACCCTGCCTTCTGAGCTTCTCAGCTGACTCTCAGGGTAGAGAAAGAAAACTCTGGCCTTCAGTCCATGAAACACAGCTCTGGGCAGTCGACATCCTACCCCACAAAGCAGGAGGGGTCACCCCGTGCCAGCTGGGGGCCCCTGGGAGGGTATCTAGACAGGGCTCCCAGCTCACCATCGCCAGGCTGAGGACAGAGAGAGACATCACCCACACACCTCCTAGAGAGACACAGACTGACCACAAGGGCATGATCTTTTCTTTTTAAAAAAAGAAGAAAAATAAGCAAATATCTACAAAATACTGTAACTTTCCTGGGCAACCAGAGCAGACATGGCAACATTGTGTCTTCTTCCTGAGCTCTCAAAGGCAGCGTCTCCCACAGCCCAGCACTCAGTCTCTGACAGCATGTGTCCTGGCCACCGGCACCTGGAGGCTGCTGTTACGTCCCCCACATGACAGCCTGTCCCTGCAGAGGGCCTGCATCCCCAGGAGTGGACCCCTCTACCTGTCTCGTCCCCCCGCCCAGCTAACACTGCTTTCACAGGTGCCCCAGGCAGCCCTGTCAGACTTTGTGGGCCAGCAGAGTGGTCAGCTTGATCTTGCCATCCATGGAGGCCGTGAGGCAGGTCCCGCAGTCCATCGCTGTGCTCCAGTCCACAGTGACCACAGGGGCCCGGTGGCCACCCAGACTCAGACAGCTCTCCAGAACCTTCTCCTCGCCGCCCAGCTGTGAGGACCGAGAGGCAAGGAGGTGTCAGTGCACACCACTTACACACAGATACACACACGTCTACTTGGGGGCCCTCCAAGCCAGTCCTAGGGCATGCCCGGGTTCATGCTCCCCCCTTCCGGACATTCGAGGCGCCCAGGTCCATGCACCTACTTTTCCAGACAGCTTTATGTAACTTAGACCAGGGAACACTTTCACGTTCTCAACTGCCTTTAGTCCTTCATCTTAAGTGGACACGTCCCTGGTAAATTCCCAAGCTTCTAAAAAGACATGGAATGTTCTCTTCTACCTTTTTAACCTGCACTGGGTCAGCATTCTTTCCAACCTGACGTACTATCTCCTCCATCCTACAGCACAAACTAGCGGGGGCCGGGTGGGGTGGGGGACAGTCAGAACAAGATAACCAAGGAAGGAAAACCAGGGGTCCCCGATAAGTTATCAGTGTGATGTCATGTTACATCCATGAGCAGGAGGGGCACTGTGCTCTGCCTAGATCTGGAAGCTGATGGAAACATCCAGATGTCACTTAGAGGAAACATCTTTACAGTCGAAAACAACTTGGTTTATAGGTTATAAAAATGAAATCTGAATTCCATTATATCCCTGAAGTCACTTTAGGCATTGGGCTGCTAACTTCATGGTCAGCGGTTCAAACCCAACCCACCAGCAGCTCCTTGGGAGAAAGATGAAGCTGTCTGCTCCCAAAGGATTCAGTCTCTGAAAGTTGTCATCAGTTGGAATTGATTCCAGTGAATCTTGGTTTTATGGAGATTTAAGAAATTATACAGGCACACTTCCAACCCAAAAATCCTGGTGTGCCGCTGCAGGATAATGCGCTGGACCACAAGGTCAGTTTGAACCGCAAGGTTGGCAGTTCAAACCCACCAGCCTCTCCTCGGAAACCCTATACAGGATTGCTATGCGTCAGAACCTACCCAATGGTACTTAACAACAGCAACTTCTAACCCATTAACTATATCACATGTCTGACTACACATCAAAGCCCTTGTCTACACCTGCCTCAAGCATGAACTCTACTGGACTATACCTATAGGACCTCCATCGATATCAAATTAGGAACCCTGGTGATGAAAAGAGTTAAGTATCCAGTTGCTGTTATGTATTGAACTGGGTCCCCCCAAAATATGTGTTGCCACTCCTAACCTTAGTGCATGCACTTACATTCCCACGTAGGGCAGGCTTGTCTTTGTTGTTACTGAGGTCAGATTCGTGTAGGGTGTGTCTACAGTCAATCTCTTACAACATATCCAAGAGCAGTTTAAACAAGCTGAGATGGGCAGAAATGGATGCCAGGCCACATGGAGACCTTCAAGGGACCAGGAAGCAGAAGCTGAAGGGATGAGGCCCTTCCCTTCAGAGCTGACCACAGAGACAGCCTTTCTCTAGAGTTGGCACCCTAAATTCAGACTTTTAGCCCCTAAACTGTGAGAAAATATGTTTGTTGTAACAGCACATAACTAAGACAGCTGACAACCAAAATGTCAGTGGTTTGAACCCACCAGCAGCTCCACAGGATAAAATACTCATACTTCTCAATGTTGTCCATAGCTTGTCATGATCCACATAATTGAAAGCCTTTGCGTAGTCAATAAAGCATAGGTAAACATCTTTTTTATATTCTCTACTTTCAACCAAGATCCATCAGACATCAGCAATGATATCCCTCGTTCCACGGCCTCTTCTGAATCCGGCTTGAATCTCTGGAAGTTCTCTGTCAATGTATGATTATAGCCGCCTCTGAATTACCTTTAGCAAAACTTTACTTGCATGGGATATCAAAGAGATTGTACGATGATTTCCACATTCCGCTGAGTCACCTCTCACAAATATGGATCTCTTCCAATCGGTCGGCCAGATAGTAGTCTTCCAAATTTCTTGGCTTAGATGATTGAGTGCTTCCTCTGCCGCCTCACTTTTTTGAAAAATTTCAATTTTTATTCCATCAATTCCTGGTGCCTTGTTCTTTGCCAATTCCTTCAATGCACCTTGAACTTCTTCCTTCAGTATCATTGGCTCTTGATCATATGCTACCTCTTGAAGCAGTTGAACATTAACCATTTCCTTTTGGTACAGTGACTCTGTGTAATCCTATATCTGACAGTGTTTCTCTGCTATTCATAAGGTTTTCAGTGACTAAATATTCAGAAGTAGTTCGTCACTCCTTCTTCCTAGTCTGTCTTCATCTGGAAGCTCATCTGAAACCTGTCCACCATGGATGACACTTCTGGTATTTAAAAAGCCTGTGGCAGAGCTTTCAGAATCACAGCAACTCACAAGCCACCACAGTACGACAAACTGACAGACAAGTGATGGCCTATGCCACCAGGGGTCCTTTATACTAGCTTCTTGTTGTTACTGTATGCTGACTCAGTGACCCTGTTTACGGTTTCCAAGACTGGCTGGCATGTTAGAATTGCCAACCTTGTAGTTGGTGCAGTTAGCGGTCCAGTGCCATACCAGGGCTCTTTACACTGCCTTAGAACGACTACACCTAAGAGCCGCTATGAGTCAGAACCGAGTCGATGGCACTTAACAATTACAGCACTTACCTGCTTTGGGCCTACTCCCATCTCACACTTCCCATCGCTTGCCCTTCTTCCTTCACAGGTTCTAAGGTCAGTGTGGATTGCAAAGGAGCCAAGGTGGGAAAGAGCAGAATGCTGCCCAGTGTGGGTGAGGGGCTGGTGCTCTGTCCAAAAATGGCCGCTCCCAAGAGGGGTGCACCTAGCCTGGTGGCCAGAGGGTCCCGTGTTCTGTTCCTCCCCAAGGCCCTGATCCCCACTTACCTTGTAGATGACGCCCCCGGTGGTGGAGCACGTCAGCATGTAGTGGCCCTCAGAGTCGAAGGCAAAGAGCCGGCCCCTGGGAGCTTGCACCTGCTTGTAGCCACTGTAGCCAGACAGCACGAAAGGGCCTGTGGCATCAGGGGGGAGGCTGGACTCGGAGACCTTCAGGCCACTTTTGTGGATGTCCCACTGGATGAACTGCAGTCATGGAGCATAAAACGGTGAGCGAGGGGACGCCACCACACTCGCCCTGACCACTCCAAAAGCGCCCTGATAGGGCGGAGCCTGCAGACCTGGTGGGCACCGGCCACAGGCCCAACCCCAGGACCACCTCCCCCAACACTTCAAGCATGTTTCCGGGAAGAGAGTCCACAAACCCCACCCCAGTCTGACCCTTTTCTTCTCTCCTGCCTACTCCAGGAGGGGAAGGGTGGGCCAACGCCTCCACAGGGGTTCCTGGTCTCCTCATCACCATTGTCACCAGGGTTAGAACTCAAGCTAGACTCTCCTGGTTTAGGAACCGAGGAGCCAGGACACAATCCAAACCTAGTTTCTCAGAGGCACAATCCCAAGAACACCGAGGAGGAGGTGACACATGCCCACGGAAAGGCTGCCTGGGGGTGACCACCTCCTAAGTGGGAGTCCCACCCAGAGCTTTCAGGGGAGGGGGTTGTGGGGATACACGTCAACAGGCTCCCCACTCCTGCCTGTCCCGCCTCCAGCTCCCTCCGTCCAGAGAGAAACTACAGGGAAGCTCCTTTCCTGATTGTGGAGCCCCAGACCCTCGGCCACACTGGAACCCTGGCTCCTCACCTGCAGCCCGGGCCAACCCAGGGCCCGAGTCCTCCGCTGTCCACTGGGAGGAGTCTTTCCCACCAGGTGTGCCCCGCTCCACCTGACAGTCAATCCCCAGTAAAGCCAAGGGACCCCAGGACTGTCTCCTCACTCGCAGGTTATAGTTGACAGCGGTGACGTGCTAGGCCTGAGCCACAGAGCTGGCCCACCAGTCAGGGGACTCAGGGAGATGCACGCGCGCGCGCGCACACACACACACACACACACACGCACACACGCACCTTGCCATCCTCGCCGATGCTGTACACGGTGTTCTCGTCATAGCTGAACTCCACTGAGCAGACCTCCCCACAGTGGGCCTGCCAGCTCATGGCGCAGTGGTGCTGCTGCATATCTGCATGAGAAACGCCCTGAGGCCCCGCCCACTCCAGGTGGGCCTTATCCCCTCCCTGAGGCCCCGTCCTCCCCAGGTGGGCGCTGACCCCGCCCTGAGGCCCCGCCCACTCCAGGTGGGAGCTGACCCCGCCCTGAGGCCCCGCCCACTCCAGGTGGGTGTTATCCCCGCCCTGAGGCCCCGCCCTCTCCACGTGGGAGCTGACCCCGCCCTGAGGCCCCGCCCACTCCAGGTGGGAGCTGATCCCGCCCTGAGGCCCCGCCCCTCGCGGGGTAGGAGCTGAGCCCAGAGGCTGAATCATGGGGACCTCAGAAGCAGCATTTTCTTACCATCAAAAGTGAGGTTCAGGAACCGGGGGTGTTGGAGGTCCTCCCCACGAGGCCTCTGTATCCCCACCAGGGCACCCTGGGGTCTCTGAAGACCCCTTCCCAGACCCACCAACTTCCATCCCTTGGAGGCAGGGGCTGTGGTGCACACCCTGGTCAGGAACCCAGTGGGCGCCTCACAAGGCGGGTGTCTCGGGTGCCCGCAGGCGCTTACACAGGCCCTGAGCACCCACATCCACAGGCAGGAACCACGAGGACACTCTGACAACAGCAGCCGCTGACCGAGGCTGAGCTCTCCCATAAGCCTGTACTTCCACTGACAGGTGTCCAGCCTCTCTGGGCCATCTGACCAAGGCTGGGGCTGCCACAAGCATCCTTCTTACCAAACAGCCGGATGACACCGTCGGCAGCGCCAGTCACCAGCAGGTTCCCGTTGTGATTGAAGGCGGTGCAGTTGATGGCAATGGGCTCTGGATCCAGGGAGAACTGAAGCTGGTGAGAGGACACCGAAGCCATGGGCAGCCCGTACCCACAGGCAGCCCTCTGCCTCTCCCACTCACCCACTTCCCAGCACCATGGGACTAAGCCTTCACCCAAGCTGGGCTGTGCTTTCTGCACGGTGAACCAGGCCGCCCCACCTCAGACACGTGGGCATCTCTGCCTCAGACACAGGGGTGCCTTCACACCTCAGACACGTGGGGGCCTCCCCGCCTCAGACACGAGGGCCTCTGCAACTCAGACATGCAGGCCTCCATAGACGGAAGCTAGTGCTCACACCAACCCTACACGAGTCCTCCACACTGAGTGACCTTCAGTTCACTTACAGAGCATTCCAGATTCCTGGCAGGAAATGCTAAAGCACTGACCACCTTTCATCACCAATGATTCTGTCATAGAAGAGTGTCTACTCCCATCCCACCCAGCTTGACATCTTCCCACAGACACACTTACAACAAGGCGGGACCCTATGAGGTCACACAGATCTCTAAAATGGCTAAGATATGATATGGGCTATGCACTGTGCTAGCTGCTAGGAACAGAGTGGCAAGCCAAACACACACAGGCCCTACATCTCATAGAATTCGGGGCCTATTAACTGATAATGAATCAAGAACTTCATTTCAAGCAACACAGAAGACCAGGAACCCTAATTAGCCCTCCAGATGGAAATGAAAAATACCAGATATGTTGTTATCTAAAAAGCACACACATGAGCGTGTCGGTACACACACACACACACACACACACACACACAGAGCTAAGCTGACAAGTAAAGGACAGTTCCTCTGAGGTAAAAAAGAAAAAAAGGGGAAGCCAGAGTCCAGAGAAGACAAGTGACTCCAGGTTTTCACTCTGGATGTGCTGGGCTTCCACTCCAACGGCCATGAAGAAGATCTCTGGGGTCCACAGAGAAGCGGCTGATCAGAAGCCTCCACAGAAACCTGGGACTCCAGAGACTATGCCTTCAGTGTCAGAAGAAGCTAGGAATCCACCAAGGCCGCGGGCCGCTATGAAGCCTGGAGCTACCTGAGAACTGAGAACCATCGGGTCCTACCCATCTGTGGTTTGGGAAACGTGAGGCAGAGAGTTTATTTTCAAGATGGCAGGAGGTGGCAGTGCCCACCCTCAGGCACCTGGAAAAAGTGAACAAAGATCTCCCAAAAAAACACACCTCCAACCTAAGTCTCAAAATACTCCTAACAAGGAACTGGAATCCATAATCAACTTTTACAAAACACAAAGATACGAAGAGACAAGAACCCCAAAACAAAACAGCCAAAGAAATGGCAGAAAACTGAATCAGACCCACGAAACGTCAGATGCTAGGTCATCAGGCAGATTTATAGTCCCCAGGGGGCACATGGGGAAGCACTCAATGAAGAACTCAAAGGCCGGTGGTTCAAAGCCATCCAGAAGTACCTCAGAAGCAAGGCCTGGCGATCTGCCTTAGAAACCCTAGGGAGCAGTTCTCCTGCTATAGAGCACATATATAGGATCACCATGAGTCACGATCAACTCACCACCACCAACAACAACTATATGCAGAAGAATGAAAGGAACTGAAAATATGGACATAAACGGAAGAGTAAATGTAACAAACAGATTTGATTAAAATAAACTAAAACTTCTCAAAATGAAATACACAACTAACTAACTAATGGGCAGGATCAACAGAAGACTAGATGGAGCAGAGGAGAGGAACTGAGATCATCTAGAACATGCAGCAAAGTGGGACAATAAGAGACCAGGAAAAGCTCTAACATATGAGAGGACTTCCAAGTTTATGGGAAAACGAAACTAAAGGGTAAGAGAAATTTTCCACATACTTTTTGACATGCCTTCCTATATTTAACTAAGTTCCCAAAGGCTCTAAAGGAGGGTGACTGAGAATTTCCCAGATTCAAATAAACCAATGCCACAGGGCCAGAGAAGACAGTGACTGAGGCAGCAGACCCTACCTGCTGCTTCATGGTCTTCGTGTCCCACAGCAGCAGTTTGCCAGGGACCTGGTTCACGCCCCTGCCGCCGTTGTCAGGTGCCGACACGTCCACCTGAGAGGCCAGGCTCGGAGCGGCAGCTGAGCAGACGAAAGAGGCCCCATTGGGGCTGCAGGCCAGAGACAGGATTCTGCAACACAGGTGGCCTGCATCAGACGTGACCACCAGAGAGGCGGCTTGCTGGGCTCTGGGGCAGAGAGAAGCGGTCACCTGGGCATGTCGTCATCAATGTTGAGCTCACAGAGATTCTTCTTGGCTTCCGTGTCGTAGAGGCGCACGGTGCCCACCCCACTGCCCAGGAGAAGCTGCAGGGAGAGGGGTCGGGGAAAGTGAATTAGGGAGAACCCCCTCAAAGCGTGCAGTGAGACCTGCCTTCCACCACAGCGGAATTACCTGGAAATGGTCTGGCTGATTCCCTAGGGCCCTCTCACTTTATACCCCGCCCCACTCCATTCTGAATCCCTGCTATTGTAGACCACCCCCCTTTCTCCTGTTTGTTCACATCTACTCAGCAGCCCCTCCCTGGGATGCCCTCCAAGTCACAGGGCCTGGATGACCACCCACTGCAGCTTACTGGGCCCATCCCAATAAGCAGAGCAGCAGCAGCCGTGCCGTGAGGAGCCTGTGCTCCCTGTGGTGAGAAGCTTCTAGAAGAAAGAACCAGACACTGCCCAGCTCTGAGTCTCCCCCAGAATACCAGACTACTGCTAGGGACTGCAGACCACCACCTCCAGCGCAGGCTCAAGCCCCTAGCCCTGCATAGGAGTACACTGAGGCTATCCAGATGGGGCCACAGAAGGGAAAGCAAAACGGCCTGCCCACAGTAGGCCAAGAGCCAGCCAGACCACATGGGGGAAGGAGCCTCTGCTACCACACAGCCTGTGACCCCCAACCACGGAACCTGCATCACTGGCCCAAAGGAGAACCCGCTGACCTGGCGTCTGGTCCCCAATGAAAGAAGAGAGAATTCAGTTCAGCTGACGCTACTCAATATCACACAGTCCTGCAGGGAGACCAGTGAGGGACCCCAAGATTCTCCACCTCAGACGACCCTCTGCCAGGCTCCTGAATGCCAAAGTAAGGGTGGCCCACCTTGGATGGCCCAGCAGGCCAATGTCACTCACTAGTCTGTCCCGCTTGGTGGCCCATTCCAGAGAGAGCAGTGGGGACTTAGAGATGGAGGACGCTTTGGTCTGCATGATGGGGTTGAAGGACCACACCTTGATGACCCCGTCCACGTCTAAGCTGGCCACCCGCCTTCCTGAGCAGTCCACTCTAGGAGAGGGGAGAGGAGAGGGTGTCAGCATCCCCTGTAAGCCAGGGCTGAGATGATGGATCACGTCACCCCCAAGGTCTGCATTCAGGCCAGGCACAGAGCATAACTGCTAAGGCACACCATGCTATGGTCCTGGCACCTGGGGCTGTACAGCCGAGTGAGGTTCTGAGCCTGTCTCTCCCAGGCAGCCCTGGTGATGGACTTCTGACAAGTCACAGCACTGGAAACCCTAAAGAGCATCTGCACTCGGCACATGTGGGGTCACCAGGAGTCGGAACAGGTTCCAAGGAAACTGGTTTGGGATTTTGGTTAGTCCACCATTCAGACTGTTCAAAAGAGACTGGTCTGCCCTTTCAAAAGCCAACTCTTTGGATAGTGTTTGTTCTCAAAGGGTCAAGCTTTCACCACGTTTACGGAAAAACTTTTCAGTGGTAACAAAAGCAAATTAAAATCGGGAGTAAAGTCTCAGCAGAACAAACAACAGGAAACTCACAATCACAGACAGTGGTACCTAATTCCACTCAAATCCTGCACTGCGTGGACAGCTGATGCTCCCCACACTCCGCCCACCCACTCCTCCCCCACTTGCAGTGCGTGATGGACAGGTGGTGCCCCCCACACTCCACCCACCCACCCCCCTTCTGAACTTGCAATGTGTGATGGGTAGGTGATGCTCCCCATCTTCCTCCTACCTACACCCTCCCACACCTACAGTGTGTGACGTATGGGTGATGCTCCCCATATTCCTCCCACCCAGTCCCTCCTGCACCTGCAGTGCATGATGGATGAGTGGTGCTCCCCATACTCCTCCTGGCCCAGCACAATGAAGGGCTGCTCAGGGCGACCACCGTCGGGGCCCCTCATGGGCACCTCCACCAGCTCAGCAGGGGGCTCTGGGCTGGGCTCGGCCTCCGTGCTGCTGGCATCCGTCTTCTTCTCTGCACTCTGCCAACCAGCAAGGGGTCAGTCAGCAGAGGTCCGCCCAGCACCCACCCGCACCACCGCTCTGTCAGCTCCCTAGCACTGCTACGACAGAAATCGCACAAGTGGACGCCTTTGGAGACTAGACGTTTATTCTCCACAGCTTAGGAGGCCGGGAGTCCGACTTCGAGCACCGGCTCTGGAGGAAGGCCCTTGGAGTGTTGGGAGAGCCCCCTGCGTCCTGGCATCATCTTCCCCTGGATCTAGGAGCTTCAGAGAGCAGGGACCCTGAGTCTAAAGGACACTCTCCAGTCCTGGCTCTTCTTTCTTGGTGGTCGTACGTCCCCCTTCTCTGTCCACTTCTCTCTCCTTTTATCTCTTGTAAGATAAAAAGTGTTGGAGGCCACACCCCTGGGAAACTGCCTTACATAGAACCAGGGTTGTGATGGTAGTAGGCACTATAGAAAAAACACTCTGCTGCTAAACATGAGTTCAAACCCACCAGCCTCTCCAAGAGCAAAGAGGAGACTGACTGCTCCCAGAAAGTTTGTATACACTTGGAAACCCTCTACAGGGTCACTAGGGATCAGAATCAACTTGGCAACAGTGGGTTTGATCTTTTGAAGCTCACCTTTAACCCCCTTACTGGTTTCTCACATCGGATCACATCATGGGGGACCATCACTTGACTGCCACATGACATCATTAGGTAACTGCCAAGGCGCTGACACTCATGGCCCAGCCAAGCTGACACATACTTTAGGTGGGGACACAATTCAAGCCATGGCAACTATCTACAGAGAGGGCAGGCCGCAGCACCCCAGGGCTTCCTGGACCTGAAGGGGGAAGGGCAAAGCTGCCCACCCACCAGCCTGCTGAGCAGTCAGGAGCCACCCAGCCACAGCTGTGGCCACTGACTGAGAGGCAGTGTGAATGAAACACAGCCTATAAGGGGCAAGTCACCTGGGGTGTGGCCCAGCCCAGCCAGCACCTGCACCTGCTGGAGGAGACCCAGAGCTGGGGATGGAGGGAGACAGAGTCAGGCCTGCTTGATCACTCAAGGTAGGAACCACCTCCTGTGCATGTGGGCCCCCACATCCACTGCACACTCAGCCAGCCCACCAGCCCCGGGAGCACAGTGGGGCCTCAGCCACACCCTCAGGGCCCTTGGGCAGCAGGAAGACCTGTTCAAGAGCAAAGCAGCAGAGAGTCCTGGGAGTGGATCCATGCACCTCTTTATCTGAAGGTGCAGAATGCCACCATTTACCACCTGAGTCTAGCAGTCTCCAGCCATCCAACTAGACCCTCTGCCCCACTGCCACACATCTTTATAGAAGCAGGAAATCTCATCTGTCTCCTATGGAGTGCTTGGTGGGTTTGAACTGTCAGCCTTGCAGTTAGCTTACTCTACAGCACCACCAGGTCTCCTTACTGGAACAAGCTCTTGAAATCGACAAGTAGACTCAATTCAGAAGAAAAGGGTGGTCAAGAAGGTGACATGGGTCCTCAGTCAGAGATCTGATGCGCACTACCATGGAGAGTGGGCCCAGGCATGCGTACAGGAAGTAGGGGAACAAGCGTCCTGGGGCTCCCAGAACTTGCTTCCGGGGAGCAGGACCAGGACTGGCGCATGCGGCCCCTACTCAAGGAGAAGGGACCCCAGACAAGCCAAAAAGGAGCCAAGACTAAAACCAACTGGACAAAAGCACGCTGGGAACCAAGCTAGGAGTCAGGAATGCAGCATACACTGCAGCAGCCACCCTCGGCGTGTCCTGTGCTCCCAGGTGCACCCAAGCCCCCAGGCCACCCTACCTGGGTCGTGGTGGTTGAGAACAGCTCCTTGCGCTCCTTGCTGTGGTCCTGCAGGCGCCGCTGCCGGGGCTGTGGCCAGCTGGACTCACCGATGGTCAGCCCGCTGAAGAGGCCCTTTGCGTCCTTGGCCCCAGGCACCGGGTCCTTGCCTTTGGCAGTCTGGAGGACAAGAAGTATAGCAGAGAAGATCTATGCCCAAGAGGGGCCAGAAGCCAAGGAGCTCGGAGTCAGGGTCCTCCCAGGCAGTGGTGAGTGGGTGGCTCCTAAAGCCACCCCCTCCTCTTCGCCCCTCTCCTCCCTTTCCACCAGACAGATGTAGTAGGGAGGGTACCTTCAGTTAAGGGGAGGAAACCAACACTTAACTAAGCAGTAGCAATGAGGCAGGACGGGCCCTCCACTGATATCATAAATGTTTATAAGTCACCCTATGTCTGCGTAATGCAAACCCATCCACAGCCACTGCTATGGAGGAAGAGGAGATGCACCACCCTCCTCCCCTGCTCTTGGTCAAGTGTAGGCTGAAACTAGTTAGTATCAACAAACACTGAGGTATTTCCCTGAAAACAGAAATGGCTGGAAACCCGAGGACTTGATGATAAACCAGACAGGAAAGATATTGGTGGAACAGTCTGGCTCCTTTCAGAGCAACAGTGTTACAGTCAGCCACCATTACAGCGACAAGGTGGATTCAATCCCCACTCCAGTGGCCCCAAGAGAAGTCTCCAGAGGAGCTGCCACCTCTCCACCTTCCCAGACGGGCTGTCTGGCTCTTCTTCTGACCACAGATTCCCAGAGACAGTGGTGACCACCCCGCCCCACCCCACTGCTTGGCAAAAGGCAAGTGTGCAAAGAGCCCCTCCCACGCTATTCACACACAAGACCTAAACCAAGAACATAAACTCCACCAAAGTCTACACGGGGCTTTCTAGTTCTACTTGGTATTTATCTTTTCTGCTCTAATTCCCTGGAGCCCTGGGCATCCCATGGACACAGAGACGCTTCTCCGGAACGGTCAGAGGCACCACGAGAAGGGGCTGATCCTGGTTAGAGGGTAAAACCTGCAGAAGCCAGAACCTGTGTAAGGTGGGACTGTGTCAGGGAAGGAAAACTCAATGAGCTTCCACTAAAGCTACTTGTGAAAAGCTAAGGAAACTTTTAAAGGACTACTGGCTTATCTAGAGACACACTGTAGCTGATCTGCCGGGTATCTGTGATTTTTGTTTATAAGGAGTCCTAGTGCGGCGCTGTAGGATAAGCACTGGACAGATAACCGCAAAGTCGGTGATTCAAAACCTCAGATGCTCTTTGGGAACCCTATACAAGGTTGCTATTAGTCGTTGGCACTTCTAGAGAAAACACCTGCTTCTCAGAATTCTGGCTCCTCTTAGGAAAAGCACAGTTTTCAGACAAGATAAAGAGTCCACAGAGAAAACCAGTCAACATGTGAAGGAACTTCAAAAAAAAACTCATGGAAAATTTCATTATCTTTTCAATTGCATTTTTCCATGAGTTTTTTGAGGCCCCCTCATATTATCAACAACAATATCAAATAAAACCCAAAGTCTGGTGATTTACTTCGAAGGAATCATCCAGAGAAAACCCTGTGGAGCACAGTGCTACTCTGACACACACAGGTCATCAAGAGTCAAAATCGACTCTGCAGCAACTGGTATGCAAAGAACTGCTAAGAACAAACCCACATGATTTCAACATGCAGAACCAGGCTGGAGAGCGTCTGTTCGTTGCCCTACGCAGCTAGGGCCTGACAGCATAGCCAGCACTCGGGCACATGGGAGAAAGTGACCTGAGCAGGAGAGATGAGAAGAAACACCTGGTCCTGGAACTCAACCACACAGTGAATCCTGCAGGAACCAGGGACTCCACAGGACTACTGTGCTTTCCCGGGTCTCACATGTCTTCCATCTTTGGCAGGGTGCAATCTTACCAAGCACGTGAAAGCCGGACAATGAATAAAGAACTGATGCATTATGAAGACCATTCACTGGACGGCCAGAAGAACAAATCAATCTGTGTTGGAAGAAGTGCAGCCAGAATGTTCCTTGGAAGCCAGGATGGCCAGACTTTGGACATGTTGTCAGGAGGGACCAATCCCTGGAGAAGGACATCATGCTTGGTAAAGTGAAGGGTCAGTGAAAAAGAGGAAAACTCCCAACGAGATGGATTGGCACAGGGGCAGCAGCAATGGGTTCAAGCATGGAAAGGATTGAGAGGCTGGTGCAGGACCGGGCTGTGGTTCATTCTGTTGGGCATGGGGTCGCTATGCATTGGAGCTGACTCAATGGCACCTAATAACAGCCTTGCCATGTTTCTCTCATTTTAGCAGAAGCTCATTGAGTTTTCCTTCTCAGAGAGAGTCCCACCTTACAAAGGTTCCGGCCTCTGCAGGTTTCACCACCTAATCAGGACAAACCCCCTCTCGTGGTGCTTCTGACCCTTCTGGAGAAGTGTCCCTGCATTGTTGGGAATCAACAGGTTCCAAGGTATTAGAGTAAAGGACATCCACCCTCCCAGAAGCAAGAGGTAGGCAAGACAAGAGGTGGGCAAAAGGGAGGACCCACGGGGTCCCCTGGCTGGCAAGCCCATGCTCTGCATCCCATAAACACACTGATGCCTTCCTCTCTCTATCAGTAAGTCCAAAGGACAAGCAGCTCAGCTGAGGAATTCCCCAAACCAAATTACAGCTGATCCCATTCTATCAGGAGAGCTATCCAGAAGAGGGTACAACTGGATCCCAAGTCACTGGGCTAGGTAGATCAGGAGGGATTCCAGAGCACCCTGGGTGTGGCAGGCAGGATATCACACCAGGGCCCACAGGGACAGGCATCACCCTGGCCAGCCTGCTAGCCAGGTCCTGACAAGAGCCCAGGGGCAACTGTTCTTACCATGGGTGTCTCCGGTTAGGAGATAATTGATACTTACAGAGAAAACTGCAGGGAGGCTGTGGGCACTTGGCTTTCTTCACATCACAGCCAATTAAAGGTTATCTCCGTAACAGAATACTTCCCACAGCTGTCCTGCGGTGTACTGAGTGGGTGTGAATTCTACAGGGAAGTGGGGGGTGGTCTTCCCTCCAGGCTACTGCTATCAGATGCCAGCAGTTACAGAAATGCAGCTCCTTTTTTTGTTCATTTTTTGTCTCCAGGGTCATACAGAAAGCTGGGGGAGCGCTGCCCCACTTTTGTGAACACTGTGGTTAGTAAGAACGCTATGAATGCGTCACTTCGTGCAACACATGAAGTGGGCAAAGTGCTGATGTGGAAAACATTGTCAATGTTATGCTGGGAGCTCGGGGATGCTGTAGGATAAGCACTGGACTGCTAACCATAAGGTCAGTGGTTCAAACCCACCAACTGCTCTGCAGTAGCAAAGTTGCTTTCTACCCTCACAAAGATTCACAGCCTCAGGAACCCCATGGAATAAAGCACTGGACCGCAAGGTCAATTTGAACCACAAGGTGACAGTTCAAACTCACCAACCGCACCTGGAAATCCTATACAGGGTCGCTAAGAGTCACAACCAACTTGATGGCACTTAACAACAACAGGTAACATTTCAATTACCAAAGCCAAATTCTTTTACAGATTGCTAATTTAAAGCAGTCAAATAGAGTTAATACTTTCTGGTTTACTACGTCCTGATATGGGGCTGTGGGTTAATGTGCTGGACTGCAAAGTTGGTTTGAGTCTCAAGGTCTGTGGTTCAAGCTCCCCAGCTGCTCCTTGGAAACTCTATACAGGGTCACTATGGGTCAGAACCGACACGACAACAAATGGCAGAAGCGGGTGGGAGGGTAGCCCTCTGGTCATGGGACAACACATCTCACAGAAGTTGACAAAGCACCAGGGCTTAATAAAAATGCAGTCTTGCTTCATGTCACCAACATCACAGGAGGTGATCATACAAACAACTGGTGAAAGAGATTTAGAACTCTCCACTCCAACGGGAGCATCTACAGCACCCACTGCAGCGAGCAGGCTTTCCCAGGCCACGAATCTCTTCACCATCAGAGTGGCTGGTCAGTTTAAACGACCTTTCAGTCAGCAGCCAAGTCCTTAAACACTGTACCACCAACGCATATCAATATTAATGTTGTTGTTGTTGTTAAGTGTCATTGAGTCGGATCCAACTTACAGTGACCCTGCATAGAGTTTCAGAAGCTTTAAATCTTTGCAGGAGCAGAAAGTCTCTCACCTTTTGCCCACGGAGCATCTGGTGGGTTCAAATTGCAGACCTTGTGGTTCACAGTTCAGTTCTTATCATACGGAATCAAAAACAAGCCCAACAGTAGTACAGGTACTGAGAAATGAAAATATCTCCCTGCAGGAGGGGGACCAGAATGGTGAAAACAACAACAAACCTCAGAGTCGCTTCTGACTCACAGCGACCCTGTACAGAGTTCCCAAGGAGCAGTTGAGTTTGAACCTGTGGTTCAAACCGACTTTACAATCCAGTACTTATCCTAGAGCGCCACACCAGGACTCATTTGTGCCTTCCAGGATGGGGAGGGGTCTAGAGATTGTGTCATACGGGTAAACAGCTTGGGGGGCAGGTGATGGAAAAGAGAAGACAAGCTGCCCCATACAAAAAAGCCTTATTCTATGTAGCTCCAGAGTGCAACTTGGACAGGTAATGAGGTCCACGTCAAGGGGGCAACCAATCCAGTGAATGAACTCTGACACTCAGAGGAGAATGGGCCAGGTGACCTTTAAGTTCCTTTCCAACTTTAAAGTTCTGTGATCTTTCTTAAAAAAACTGTTTATCAGTTATTTTCAGAATGGAAACATCTACACTGCATCTAATTAATCCACCATCAATTTTTAAAACAAGACGTCTGATTATGGGTTTTTCAGACAGTAGACCTCTGTCCTCCCCACTCATTCAGGAACAGACCACAGGGCGACCCAACCTCTGTCTAAATATACCTGAGATACAAGGTAAGGAATGCTTTGCTGCACTCTTGCCTCCTGGCTCTGAACTGCAGAGACAATTCCCTAGCCATTCTAACCTCACCATGTGAGACATAATTCCCAAAGACAGACTGAGCCAGGCCACAGGCCTAACCCCAGAGAAGCCATTTCTGTGCTTTCTTTCACTGTAAGTTAATAAAAATCACACTTCTGCATCTCAAGTGCTTCATGCATCATCTATTAACTTATCAAGCGTTGCCGGGTGAGAGAGATCGGATGGGTATCCAGCAGTAGCACTTACTCGGCCACATTCCATAGGACCAGAATCCCAAGGTTTCAGAAGTAGTCACAGGTGTTACTGGGCTTGATTGGTTTTGACAGGTTCGGCCCTCAAAGATTCAGACATGAGAGTGACCGCACTTGCGGGCACATGGGTCAGCCTGACTTCTTCACACACACAGCAGCTACTGCTCAAATGCACTGAGAGCCACGCACTGTACACACGTCGGCACACGTCGGCACACGTCGGCCCCCACCAGGAAGCAGACTGGGTTCCTGTGAGGTGCAAACAGTTTGCATTCCACTAAAACCTGTGGGTTCCAACCCACCCCGAGGCACTGTGGAAGAAAGGCAAGGCGATCTGATCCTGTAAAGACTGCCACCAATGAACTATGGAGCAGTTCTACATGGGGTCTCCATGAGTTGAGACCAAGATGACATCAGGTTTTTTGATTGAGTAAATGGGGGCAGGGGAGGGGGGGTGTTGCTCAGTGGTAGATTTCTTGCCTTCCCTGCAGGGGACCTGGATTTGACTCCCATCCCTCAAACCTTGTACGCATGTCAGTGGAGGTGTGTGTGTTGTGACGAAGTTACCATGGTGAACAGGTTTCAGGGTAGCTGGCAGATTAAGGCAAGCTGGAAAGAAAGGCCTAGCGTTTGATTTCTCAAAAAGCAGCTCATGAAAACCCTATAGATCTCAGAAGGCCATTGTTTGTGGGGTCACCATGAGTCAGGGGCTACTACTTGGGGGCATCTGACAACAACAGGGAGAAGATACTACTATTTCCATTCCAAGTTTACACATCAGCAAATCGGGGTGGATTTAAGCAGTCTGAGGTCTGTGCAGTGAGGTCGTCACACAAGGAGTCAGGGTTCAAAACAAAAGCCTCCTGACACCCACCCCATGACGCTGCCTGGGCACTCCAACTCCAGTTCAACCACCCTGAGCCATGTGCCTGGAGAAGCCTAGAGTGTTCTCAGACTCCAGACTGCTCCGTCACATGCCACTGTTCTCAAGTCACAGGAGGCAAGAGCAAAGGGTGCATGCAGACCATGACTTCCTTATCTGTAACTCATAAAAGCATGTAAAGGAGAAAGCTCTGAAGAGCAACTGTGAATGTGTTCAACTTTCACTATGACAGAATTTTCTGGAAGAAATGGTTGCAACTGTCTCCACCAGGAGAAGTACTCAGTGTGATGCTAGACCAGAGTGGACAGGAGGTGGTGGGCCTAAAGAGGCTTGCCTGTGTCAGGCAAAGGGAGGTCACTTTGCTGAATCAGAGAGTAACTTGCAGGAGAAATGAATTCAGAGTTTGTGTTTCAAATAATTTACTCTTTAGCTACCTGCAGCTATCTGGGCCCAGAGAGTCATACTCCAGAATGGCTCGAACTCACTCTGGAGAAACTCACTTCAAGGAAAACAGCTCAGGGCAAGAACCCCTCAGAGCCCATTTCCTGCCTTCAGTTGCCACCTGGTAATCTGAGAGCCCGGACACATCATCCCTGCTGCCATTCTCTCCTCGCCTCCTCACCTGTCACTGGGGAGAAGAGCCTTCCCCCGACCCCAGCACCCCCATTGCCCCAAGCTCAGAGCAAAAAGCTGGACATGCTGCTTACCTGGTTGCCGATGGCCTCTCTCCTGGCAGCATTCTGGGACTGTTGGGGCCCCTGGGCGGGCGACAACCGTGAGGGGCTCTTCTTGCTCTGCTGCAGCAAAGAGGACAGGAAACCCACACGCGGCGACTGGGAGAGGGCAGTACCTCTCTGGCTGCACACCATGGCTCTGGTCAAGAAGACACACTATCGGGGGGGCGCCAGACACAGCCCCACGGCTTGATCAGGGTCAGGTGAGGAGGCTCCACTGAGCACAGCACGTGGCTCTGACCAAGATGCACCCCACGTGAGGCGCCATGGGAACAGACTTGGTATGAAAAGACCACATGGGGTGTCTCAGTAATACCTGTATCTACATGCTCAAACACGTTTTATTAAGAAAACTTTACCCTGTTGATGACTTTTTTAAACACGGCTGCTAACCCTGTAACATCTCATTTGCTCCCGCACCTCTACTTCTGTCCTCACTGCCATGGTCACCATGATTACCACCGTCACCACCACAGTCATTCTTCAGGGCCGCTCACAGATCTCTCCTGAGCTCAGAACAGGTGCCAGCTTCCACCACACAACACCCAGCCTCCCCTCCAGGACAAACACTCCCCACACCTGCCACAGTGGGGGGCCTAGATGGACTGGCCTGCACATCAGGACCCCAAGTCCTGCCCCACACATCTGTACCCGCAGACCCTGCCCCACACATCTGGACCCGCAGATCCTGTCCCTCATATCTGTACCCATAGACCCTGTCCCTCACATCTGGACCCACACACCCTGCCCCTCACGTCTGGACCCGCAGACCCTGTCCCTCACATCTGGACCCACAGAAGCTGCTATACACATCTGTACCCACAGACTCTGACCCACACATCTGGACCTGCAGACCCTGCCCTACACATCTGGACCCATAGACCCTGTCCCTCACATCTGGACCCACAGACCCTGCCCCTCACATCTGGACCCACAGACCCTGATCCACACATCTGGACCCGTAGCCCCTGCTCCACACACCTGGACCCACAGCCCCCACCCAAGCCAAGCTGTGAACCTCGCCATTCTGGACAAAGCAGAGGCTCAGAAGTTAGGAGCAGCTACTACAAGACTGTAAAGGCAAAGAGGGACTTTACCCATGAAACTCTGAACAAGAATAGGTCATGTCCAGGTGGCTGGTGGGCAGTGCTCTCTGTGAGGAGGGGTAGGTACAAATGGGAGCCCAGGACACCCTCCCACCAGCCTGGGGCTGCCTGGCACTCACAGCTCCGAGTCTCCCAGGCGGTCCATGCTGGAGATGTAAGGAGGTAATTTATGTTGGACTGAGGCCTCCTCCTCCTCCGGCTGCTGCTCCTCTTTCTTCAGCCGGTGAATTTCGGCTTGCAGTGCAAACAGCTACTTGGGGAGAGATGAGGGAGTTGATGCTCTTGCCCAAACCCCATCATGAGGACGTTTCTAGATGTGTCACCTCTAAAACCCACCCTCCCCGGCCCCAGGCCCCTCTCTCCCTGCAAGTTGTACAGGGGCAAATGGAACCCAGTGGTCTTACCCCACCACCACCTCGGGAAGAAATCCAACCTCTCAGACCTACAGTGGAGTCCCCTTCAGCATCTGATTTGCTTCCCCCTGAATTCACTGAGAAAAAGGCCTCCACCCAATCCTGCTTTCTTTTGGGGGCGCCTACAAAATCAGGTTTAGGGACTTTGATAGAAAAATTTATTAAAAAAAATAAAAAATTCTGGCATTCTTACTTAACCTTTTACCTGAAGAAAAGCATGCACACATACATACTCTAAACTCACAAACTGTTAATGTCCCAAACCTAAACAGCTTCTAATCTTCTTTTTCCTGACAATACCACCAGTTGACATCTTCAGCTCAAGGACAGGACATTAAAAGACACGCATGGGTACCCCGGCTCCTTGTTTACAGAACTAGAGACACCGGACTGAGTAACAATTACAGCTGAGTTGTGAACAACGTAAGACCCCATGGCTATCCAGTCGATTCCTCCTCCTAGTGACCCTATAGGACATGGCAGACCTGCTCTGGAGGGTCTCCAAGGCTGCCGTCTTTATAGAGGCACACTGCTCCATCTTTCTCCTGAGAGGCTGGGGGGTTTGAACTGCCAAGCTTTATGGTAGCAGTTGACGGCTTAGTCACTGTGCCACCAGGGATCCCATAAACAACAAGTTGTTGTTGTTGTTAAGTGCCATCGAGTCAGTTCTGAGTCATAAGAGAGACCCTGTATAGGATTTTCAAGGAACAGATGCTGAACTTGAACCACGGATTTTGCAGTATAAACCGACCTTGCAAACCAGTACATTAACCCACAGCACCACACCAAGACTCTGTAAACAATATGCTGTTGTTATGTGCCGATGAGTCGATTCTGACCCATAGCAACCCTGTATAGGGTTTCTGAGGAGCAACTGGTGAGCTTGAACCACCAACTTTGCACCTCAAATGGTTTTACAGTCTGGCGCATTAACCGATATGTGTAGATGTACAAAAAGGACCGCTAGTAGCATAGTGGATTACGAGCTAGACTGCTAACCACAAGATCAGCAGTTCAGATCAACCAGCCGCTCTGTGGGAGAAAGATGTGTCTTTCTGCTCCCATAAAGATTTACAATCTGGAAAACCACCACCTGTGCAAAAGGACCAGGAGGGTCAGACAGACAGGCCAGCTCTAAGGTGGCAGCTTGACACAAAGTCTTTTACTTCTAGACATGCTTGATGCTACTAGATGGACTGAAAACACAACTCTCATCCTGGAACCCCAACACTGGCTTTCTGTGGACCCTCTCATCTATCAAATTCACACGTGAAAAGTGGAAGTCCTTCCCAAGGCTTGGACACACCTTCTGACGCAGAACTTCATTCTCCTCCTGGATCTGGTTGGTCCTCTGGCACTCGGCATCAAAGCTCAGGATCACGGGAACCGGTGCAGAGGTTAAGGAGAAAGTCTGCCCACAGATGTTCAGAAGCCTCTCCTAAAACCCCATCTGAACAGTACAGCACCTAGGCCTGAGACATGGGAACTAGACGGTGGCCGACTCACAGCCCACAGAGCACCGAAGTCCAGAAGCAGGCAGCGGTGAGCTGGCACCCCGTGGCCAGGTAAGAAAGCAACCCCGGGCAGGGCCCTGCAGGACACTGCCTGATGGCCTGCTGGCTGGGGCACAAGATCAACTACTCTTCCCTACCCAGATGGAACCTTCTCAAAGAGGAGAAAGTGGTCTCCAGATGGCACGGCCTAACCCCACCGTGTGAGCACCCACAGTCTAGAAGCGGGTCTCAGCTCTCCCAGCCACCCCAGCTGGCCAGCAGTACCAGGAAGTGACCAATGTTCAAACATGCATGATTTAGTTTGAAGGACTCAGGGTTGCTCCACAAAGATTTAAAATGGTGTGTGTGTTTCCCCTGGAGGGCCCCCATAATCACGCCACACTCCCTCGGAGCTAAGCCCCTGGCTCATCTGAGACTCCCCTGGTGGCATAGCAGCTGCAGAGGGAGAGAAATGATGGCAGAATGCCCACCCACGACACACACCAACTGTCACTGAGCTTCCGACTCACAGCAACCGTACAGGCCAGAGCCTAACTGCTCCACACGATTCCCAAGACTGTAAATCCTCACAGGACAAGACGGGCTTATCTCTCTCCTGACCTGGTGCTTAGTAGCCCAAACTTAATGCACTGTGCCCACAGAGCTCCGCACACCACCGGCCTGCCCACCTCTGCCAGAAAACGGCAACTGCAAGCCTGCAACTCACAGTGACAATCTCAGTGCCCTGCCAAGCAGCCCCATGGCAGACAGACTTGCCACACCTCCCCAGATGTCAGTCTAGAGACCAAGTGTGTGGGGCCAGCCTGGGCCAATGTGTGAGCTGTAAATACTAACATACAACACACGTTCTTAGATATCCATATATAGATATACAAAAAGCTTGTGGAAAAATTCCATTATCTCTATTCCATTTTCAATTCGACAAACTTTTTGAAGGCCCTTTGTATATATACATGCATGTGTATATACTACACACATGAATAGTACTTATGTAGACATGATAAAGCTTTGTATTGCTCTCTCTCTCTCCCGTTCTCTACATACATATATACGTGTGTGTATATTTACATATACGCGTATATATACACACACAAAGTCCTGGTGTGATGCTGTGGGTTAATGCTTAATGTGGCTGGGATGCAAAGTCTGTATGTACCTCAAAGTCAGCAGTTCAAGCTGACTAGCTGCTGCTCAGAAACCCTATAGAGTCACTATGAATCAAAACTGACTTGACAGCACTTAACAACATACATATGTTGTATGTACATATATATGTTGTACATACATAAGCTTGGGCTGCTAGCAACAACATACACACACACATATACATATATGCATACACACACACATGCAGGCAAAAGATGAGGATTTGGAACTGATTCAACAGCACTTAACAACACACACATGCACACAAGGGTGTTTTTAAAAGTTCGTGAAGAAATTCCATTTTCCACATGCTTTCGGATGCCCCCTTGTATTCTTAAGGCAGCTATTTTCCAGGCAGCTGAACACTGCTGAAGTCACCACCAGGGAGCAACCGTGATTAACGTGGACACAAGATCCAGCCTACAGGTGACTTGCTCTGCTACCCGAACCCAGCCAGGGGCACTGACCAGTGCACACAGACAGAGCGGGAGCTCTCCATGCTGGCCGGTCTCAGCAACCCCAAATAAGCCCTAGCCTGGCTTCCGGTTCCTTCCGGAGCCCAGCCCTCTCGTCACACTGGCGCCAGCACCACCCATGCAGAGGAGCAGTGGACCTAACATTAGGGTTCCATGGCCTACCTCACACGATCATGACCGTGACCCTGATGCACTGCCTGGGGTGCCGAGACCCTGACCGGGGTGGGGGGGCGGGCGGGAGGGGAAAGGCCACAGTCAGCCACTGGCTTTGGCAGGATATGCATGCACTGTAGCAGGACACTCAGGAAGTTGTGCAATGACACAATGAAGGTGTCAGCCCACTGCCGCGAGAAGTAGGTGGCGAAGGTGGGGTTGGTGTCTGGAGACGGCAGGAATGGCAGCGCAAACCAATCTTTCCACTCAGCCTGGTTCTGCAGCTCCGCGGCCTGCTTAGCAAAGAACTCCTGGGCCTTGTCGCTCCTGTTGGTCTGCCAAAACACGGGAGGGAGGCAGACAGACAGGAGGGGCAGAGAGAGCAGGGCAGACGTGAGGCTCCATAGTGCTGCACCAGACAGCTGCCAAATAACACCATAAGGGAGAGGAAACTGCTGCTCTTTTCCCCAAGACCTCACAGCTTCTAAGCAACTCTCATAGGAAATCACCACCCTGCAAGTCATCCCCCAGTGTGCTTTCCAATAACTTCAGTGACTTATTGCCCCTGGCCATGGCTCAAAGACAGCCAGCCCAGAAATTTCCAGTCTTACAAACTCCCTGCCATCCAGACTAACAAGAGGGGAAACAGGAATGAGGAAGATTAGTCAGATGATGAGCAGATGATGAGATGGAAGTGTCAACAAAAATGCGCCATGACCGCTCTACCCAGTCCCCCAGTCACATGCAGAGCCACATCTAAGAGCTCTCTCCACCAAGGGAAGCAGCAGCCCCAAACCAACAAGCACCTGGATCGTGTAGACGAGATAAAAGCGGAACAAGCTGTTCTTCAGTTTATGGATAGTGGGCCTGTATATATCCTCCAAGCGGCTGAAGAGCCGGCGCTCCAGGTAGCTCCAGTAATCCCGCAGGGCAGCCAGGTCATAAACCTGCATTAACTGCTGGAGCTGGTCCACAATCTTGTCCACCTGGTGAGAGACCAACGGGATGGAGAAGATGCTGACAGACAGCAGAGGATCTTCCTCCACCCTGCCCACAAAGTTAACAGTTTTACCTCCTTCTCAGGATTCTGGGTGTTTTTTGTTTTTAAGAAAACTTGTTGCTGTTGTTAGTAATCTATAAAATGTTGACAAGGTGTTCCTGTAATGTTGTTGTGTTATTAAGTCGGTTCTGACTCACAGCTACCCCGTAGAGGGTTTCTGAGGAACATCTGGTGGGTTTGAACGGCCACCTGTGGTTCGCAGTGCAGTACTGATCGTACAGCATCACATCAGGAGTCCGTTACTATAATAGCTTTTGAGTTATGTGCTGATGTTAAATGCATGGTTTGAGTCTACAGCAGGCAGGGACATTTTAGAAGACGTAAAGACTACGGTCCAAAAACCAGATCTGGGCCTGGGTCTGGAGTCTGCATCTGGTTAACTCAACCACCTGTGCAATGAATGTCACGTCCACGCTCTGGTCTTAAGTTGCCTCATATTTGGGGAATGGGTGCATGTGGGGAGGGGGACAGTCAAAAAGTAATGATGAAAGGAAATGTGGATAGATCTGTTGTGATATAATAGTGAATAATTGTTATCAGGACTGATTGTGAGGGTTGGAAATGCAAAGGTAGATGTTTTGTAGCAAGGAGGGGAGTGATTAACTTTGCAGTCTAGGAGCAGAGGTCCCTGGGACCACCAACGGAGAAGAGTGGAGAGCGGGACCCTACTCAGAGAAGCAGTGACACCAGAGATTGAGGCAGAGACAATGATGTGGAGAGATGGAGCAGCTAGAGACTTTAGACCCAGAGAAGGAGAGGGGCTGTGTGCTGATGACCAGTGGGCAGGCTTGCAGGGTATACCCTTTGGCTGCTTGATGAAGCATGGAGGGACTGTAACCATGGCAATGAAACGATATATGATAGGATCAATGTAAAACTAATATTCTCCCATGTAAACTATCACATAATTCACAATTAAAACACTTTTTTAAAAAATGATGGATCGTAACACTCTGTATGGTCCTCCTTCCATCTGATATTGTTAAATGCTGTCAAGTCGGTTCTAACTCATAGTGACCCTGTATAGGGTTTCCAAGGAGAGGCAGGTAAGTCTGAACTACTGACCTTGCAGTCCCATGCCACACCAGGACACCAATGACTCCCCCAAATCCAAGGTTCACCATGAGGTGCATGGGTCCCTTCATGTCACCAAAGTGTCAGGGAATGAAAAAATAGCACCAGAGTTCAGAGTCTGAAAGGGTTTTGAATAGCAATCCAACCTCCCCATTTTACAATCCAAGAAGCAAAAGGATTTGCTTTAGCCTCTAAGTGGTGGTGGTGGTGATGTGCCGTGGAGTCGATTCCAACTCATAGCCTCTAAGCAGCCACTAACAAAAGGACCGCTGGTGGCATAATGGGTTAAGCACTGGGGGGCTAACTGTAAGGTTGCTAGTTCAAACTTGCGAGCTGCTCCAAGGAAAAAGATGAGGCGGCCTGCTCCTGTAAAAATGTAGTCTCAGACACCTAAAGGAGCAGTTCTACACTATCCTATAGCATCGCTGAGTCAGAATCTAGCTGACAGCAGTGGGTTCGTGGAGCCACTAACGATACCCAGTGGCACAGTAGTTAAGCACTTGGCTGCTACTCGAAAGGCTGGTGGTTCAAACCTACCAGTGCCTCTGCAGAAGGAAGCCGTGACTGTCTGCTTCCCAAAGAGTTCTGCCTTAGAAACCCCACAGGCAGTTCTACTCTTGTCCTTTGGAGTAGCTATGAGTCCAAATCGTTCAATGGCCAAGCAGAGCAGGTGGGGTGGAGCCCCTCCAGCACTTGTCTGTCAGCCTGTCGCACTGTGGTGGCTTGCATGTTGCTGTGATGCTGTAAGTTCATACTGCTATTTCAAAGACCAGCAGAGTCATCTATGGTGGACAGGTCTCAGCAGCACTTTCAGACTACGGCAGACTAGGAAAAAAGACCTGGCAATCTACTTTTAAAAATCAGCCAATGGAAATCCTGTGGGTCACAAGAAAACACTGTCCAACACTGTACTGGAGGATGACCCCCTGGGCAAGAAGGCAGTGCAGTGGGCTCAGTCCTGAACTCATGCATACCAGAAATGGGGAGATGGTGCCCATGGACAAGCAGAGTTTCAGTTTAGTTGTGCCTGGGCTCACTGACTTTGGTCTCCTAACCCCTCTGAGAGTTTTGCTGCTAACTCACTGCTTCTCACTCAGTTCATTGTAGTCAGCCAACATTTGAGTCTAGGCGACACACACACACACACACACACACACACACACACACACACACAATGTAAATTCCTTAAACCGCTCAGGCGAGCAGCATCATGTCAAAGCAGGGGAAGTATAAGTTCTAAAAAGTGCAATGACGTCTTCTGCAATTGCAGAAGCAACAACCCGTGAGTCAAATTGAGGTGGTTTTAAACAGCGACCACAGACACTTGAACGCAGACAATAGTGTGGGCTGCAGATTCGAAGCTCCCAGTGTCAGCGGAAGTCACCCCTGTTCTATTCTGTAGTCAAAATGCAACCACCCACCCAGTCTGTCTCCGGAAACCTCGAGGTCTCTTGGTCAAGGGCCGGGGGACCAGAGATAGTCCCCTCAACGGTCTGCTAAGGCCAGACGCCCGACATGACCCCGCGCCGCTCCCTCCTTAGAGGACTAGGGACCTCACCCGGAAGCCCTTCTCCTTGTCCGCCTTGATTTCGGCATCTAGCTGCCGCAGCGTGTGAGTGAAACCGCGGAACAGTAGGTACTCGCGAACCAGCTCGTCGGTGCGCTCCACCGCCTCCGCCATCGCTACGCCAACGCCTGGAGGGGCGGTGCGAACTGGGCGCGAAAGGGCGGGCACTAAACGCGTCACACCGCGATCAGCCAATGAACACACACGCACACGGCCGTCCGCGGCCACGCCCAGGTTCCGCCCCCAGCCTCAGTCCAGGCCCAGCCACGCCCCCAGCTCCTGCCACGCCCCAGTCTCTATCCAGGCTCCTCTCTGACCCCGCCTCCATCCTCTAGTACCGGCCCGGCACTGTCCACGCCCCCTTCCCCCGAAGCCCGCCCCCAACCTTGTCCCGCCCCAGCTCCGTTCCCTGCTCGGCTCTGGCCCCGCCTCCATTCTCGGACCTGGACCCGCCCCGCCCCCAGTTTTATATTCGGATACGGCGCGACCCCGCCTCTACCCCCGTTCCCACCTCTTCCACCCCTAGTCTCAATCCCGACCCTGTCAACCCGTCAGTCTAGGCCCCTCCCACGTCCGGAGCCCGCCCCCGGTCTCGCCTCTGGCACCGCCCTCAGCCTCAAACCCCGCCTTCGACACAGGCCCCACTTCACCCCTCCGGCCCCGCCTCCAGCACCGCCCCTGACCCCAGCAGCAAGCCCCGCCTCCAGCACCGCCCCTGTCCGCCTGTCCAATAGTGGGGGTTACTGGAGTTGCTGCTTTCCTGCGCTACAAGGCAGTGCTGGCGGCGCTCTGTCATTTGATTATGTCATCTGGCTATTTTCCAAGGCCACTCCTGCAAGTAGGGCAGGACTTTAGGGACCATCCCAGTCAAGATGCGGGAGGGAGTGAGGAACCAGGATTATTGGCAGTATGACCAGGAATTCCCGCCTCTGCCCTCGTTCTCCACGTGGGAAAGGTGGGAAGTCACATGGCCAGGGTGTCACCGGAGAACATCTAGCCCCCAAAGCGTCCACTAATAAGAATAATTAATCACACGGTCAGATAACCAACACACACTGAAGAGAAAAAAAGGCAGGTGTCAGAACCCTGTAAAAAATAGGATATCCGTCTTGTAAAATAATATAAAGTATGTGTGTGTGTATCGTTAAATAAGTCAGGAAGTTCTTGCACCAACTGTAGTAATTTTCTCTGAGAGGTGAGATTGATTATAAGGTCCTTTCACTTCCTATATTTTGCCATTTGAAATTTGTCTGTAGTGTATGCATTTTTTTTTAAGCTTTTATGGTGCAATGAGTGATAGTTTACATGGGAGAAAATCAGTTTTGCAATCATCCTATCATATTTCGTATCATTGCAATGATTACAATCTCCTCCATGCATCACCATTCAACAGTATTTGCTTCTATTCCGTCTGTTGTTGCTTTTTTGTTTTTGATTTTGATGTACACATAAACACTCAGGAATATATATACATATAATCATTTAAACAATCACCCACGGGCACACATTCTGTAAGCCTGCCTACTGGCAACCAGCAGCACACAGCCTTTCTCTTTCCATGAGTCTAGAGTCCTCAGATGCTCCCTCTCTCCATGTCATCATCTTTGCCTCCATCTTTGCTTCTCCGGATAGGGTCCCACATTCCAGTCATGCTCTTCTCCCTTGATGGTCCTACGGTCCTCTGTTCCTGGAATGTAAGATTAACTACTCCCCGCTCATGTTACAAAACTACCTTTACAATTGTGACAGTTGCAATTAGTCATGATAACAATTACTCACTATTGAATCATAAGAATCTTATCCTCATCTCCTTCCACCAGATAAGACCCATGTAGATAAGATGAAAAGTATTCAGTGGGGATTCTACCTTCCCCCGCACACTCTAAAACTAAGCTCCCTCTTGATCATTTGTAAGCCAGCCACTTCATGCCTTTATAGGTCCTCCATTTTAGGTATCCAATGTCTAAGTTGCCATCCCTATCAACCCTGTGTACAAAGGGAATCAATATGTTTGATGGGAAGACTCTTTTCCTCTCAGTTAGTATTTTGAGCTACTACATCCATAAGCATAATAAAGTTCATCAAATTGTAGCAATTTACACTTGTTTCCTTTATCAAATTTCTTTATCTTCCTCTGTTCCCGTTCTGATCATCAAGACACTGAAGCTAGGTCAAATGGGTACTGTCTGCAAGTTTGGGCATTCTTGTGCTTCTCCCCTAACTTCATATCAGTTGGACGCTTCATTCTTGGCTCTAGCCCTCTGTGATTAGGTCTTTGTCCATGGGCTTAGGAGTCTGCAGGTCTCACTACACTTCAGACCAACCAGCCCTTCCTCTTCTCTCTCTCATCTCCAGGTCAACAGGAGTTTACAGAACGTGGCTGAACTCAGCCCATATCTGCATTGCTGCCTTTCCCCATCTTCCACTCACCAGTAGACCAACGTGGTCAACTGAAAGCTTACATGCCTGCTCATGTGTTCCCTTTGAGTTTCAGTCTTGGGAGGGGTTGGTTAGTGTATGCAGGATTGGTTTTCTGATCAATGAGAAAGATGAGCATGTCAGGGAGTTTCCCAAGGCGTCAGCACTGCCCTTTCCTCTACCTCCAATAGCTTTTCCTAGAAGCTCACATGGATATGCCCCTCCCCCTCCCCCTCCCCCTCCCAGGTTTGCTTAACATCATCTTCTCAGAAGGACTTCCTGAGGATCATGTCACGGAACACATAGGGAAACCCAGGAGCATTCTGGTGTGGCGATGTAGGATAAGCACTGGAACACAAGGTCAGTTTGAGCTGCAAGATTTGTGGTTCAAATCCACCAGCTGCTCCTCAGAAACCCTATACAGGATTGCTATGAGTCAGAATGACTCAATGGCACTAAACAAACAACAAAATAACAAGGAGGTACCCTCCCCTAGATCTGATATTCCTATTAGGACTTCTAACTTCCAACATTGTGGGACAATGAATCCCTGTCCTTTAAACCCACTCCTTGGTTGTATTTTTTGTGGCCCTAGATAATGAGGACACTATCTATTACTAATTTATTGTACAGATTCAAGAAAGATTAGCTCTCACCACCACCACCACCACCAAAATGTATGCTCTATAAAAGCAGAGCGTTTTGTCTGTATTCTTTGATTCTCTAACCTCAGAGGCTCTAACAGTGCCTAGATTACAGTAGATTCTCAATAAGCATTTGTTGAATTCACGAATGAGGGCAGAATAGCCTTACAGATGAGAACAAACTCTTATGTGCAGATTCTATGGGCTTCAGACCACCAGGTCCCTGTCTTCTCCACTGTGAGTGTGTCTGTGTGTGTGTCTGTGTGTGTGTGCCTATTTTGCTCTTTTGATAAATGTCTTAGGCTGGGTTCTCTAGAGACACAAAACCAGTGATATATATTTGGAATCCTGGTGTGGTGCTGTGGGATAACACACTGGACCACAAGGTTGGTTTGAACTGCAAGGCTGGCGGTTCAAATTCACCAGCCACTTCTCAGAAACCCTATCTATATAGTGCTGCTATGATTCAGAAGTGTTGTTGTTGTTGTTAAGTGTCTCAATTAAGAAATGACTTGATGGTATATATATATATATATGCCATAAAGAGAAATTTATATCAAGGAAATGGCTCATGACTGTAGAGATAGGAGAGTTCCAAGTGCAGGAGGTCAGGTGTACCAAGATCCATAGGTGGCTCCAGAAGGTAGGAATCGCAGATCGGGGCACAAAGTAGGACTTGAGTGCTGGAGTGGGGCAGGAGCAAGGTGAAGGTAGGCCAAGGTCTGTGCAGCCATGATGCAGAACAAGCAGCATGGGACCCAGGAGCTGGGGTGACAGGAACAGGCATGCAGGGTCCCCCTGTGGGCATCTGGTTTTCCAAGCATACTGGGCAGGCAAGCCAGCAGGGAAATGTACAATAGAGCAGGCCACTGGTTCAAGTTGAAAGAACCAGAGATTGGAGGATGAGCCAGACTAGAGATCCAGACCCAGGAGGGAAGAGGAGTGAGTCATTCAGTAATGTTCATTATATTGGGAGCAGGCCACACCCCCAAGGAAACAGCCTTTCAATGGATTGGTTGCTCATAGCCAATCATCATAGAGTTAACTATCAACTGCCAAACAACTGGGAATCTTGGCTTAATCACGTTGACACAGAACCCAACTATCACAATAACTGAGAAATGATTAGGTTTAGGATCCAGCCAACTCTGCTATGACCTCATGGCCTTAACATAGAGGTTCATATCCACAGGCACAGGCCAGGATTTCAACAAACATCGGGGAGGACACAGTGTCTCAGTTCATGACAATACCTATTTCATTTAACCCTCTTGAAGCCCTATCAACTACAGTCTGTTTACCTCATTTTAAGGATAAAAAACTGAGGTCCAGGAAGACTAATTGATTTTCAAACTCTCACATGTGGCTATTGCAGAGCCAAGTGCCAAATTCACATTTCCTGGTCCCAAGTTGTGGTCTGCTGAGAACATCACAAAAACATCACTGAAGCGGTCAGTTAGTGAAAGAGACCTCTTGGATGAGTGAGGACACATTATGTCTACTCCTCAAGAGTACTGGAGCTCAGCCTAACCAAGCAAGTTCTCTTGAACAGCCAGAACATTCTGCCAGGCCAGATGGACCAGTTCAGCTTTAGGGAGCCAAAGAAAAAAACACCCCAGTCTGGCAGGGCTGGCACCTGGAGCTCTCCAAGGTGCTAGGATTCCCTTAGAATGTCATCTTCTGGTGTGGTGCTGCAGGATAAGCACTGGACTGCAAGGTCAGTTTGAAGTGCTCCTTGGAAACCCTATACAGAGTTGCTATGAGTCAGAACCAACTCAACGGCACTTAACAACAACAACAAGTCCTCACCTCAGGAGTCTTGATAACACAGTGGTTACGTGTTTGGCTGGTAATCAAAAGGTCAGTGGTTCAAACCCACCAGCTACTCTGAGTGACAAAGATGTAGCAGTATGCTTGCATAAGGATCACAGCCTCGGGAACCCAGTGGGGCAGTTCTACTCTGTCCTCTAGGGTTGCTATGAGTGAGAACCGACTCATGGACAGCAGGATTCTGTCTTACCCTTAATTGGGATGCTTGGGATGGTCCTCTGC